TGAACTTCAGATTAAGAGACGTTTCTTTTCTGCTTTCAGTATAAAAGCGTGAAAACGGAGGTCGGACCTCGAGTGTCTCTGAGACACAAACTGGTCTCATGGAGGTTTAAAACCTTGCAGGCTAAGACTGAAAATAGTCCAGTGCATCATGGGAAGTGAGGCAGGCAGTTCGACCCAGTTAGGAGGAGCCGGTGTGTCCTGCTCCATCACTTCCTGTCTTCGGCTGCAGCATGACGCCGGTGGTTCTACTGGAAGTAAGAACCAGGTCCAGAGGACAATGTTGGTGCCGGCACTGGTTCTGATGCTTGTCTGTCCCTGTCCTCCTCCCCCCTCCCAGATGGTCTCAGTTCTCGTCCTCTGAAGGTCACCGCAGTCTTGAAGTGAGCGGCAGCTCCGCAACTTATTGGATCTTTTGTTTGTTCTCGTTTGATCTGATCGAGATGAGCTCACTTGAATCCACCGAACTGAAAAACGCTCCTCAGTTTTACTTCGTTAAATCAAAGAGCTTTAGGAGGCTGCAGCTGTGGTCACTTCGTACCCGACTGGGTACAAAAAGGAGCGGTCTGTCCTTTGAGACGCCTCCTGATGATCACTGAAGGATGATTTATACATTTAGATCATTTCTGTGAATAAACACCCGGTGGTGTTGCGTTTACTCAGAACATCAAAGTGAAAAACAGAAATACTCATTCATAAACTCAACATGGCTTCAGTTACATGAATAATCACAGATTTATAGATTTTTATTCCTCACTGAGCGTGCACGTCACGGTGACTCAAAAACATAATCCCAGTCAGATGACCAGCAGTTAGCACGATGCTAACGGGCTCTCAGTTTAGCTTTCAGCAGAATGATTTGGTTCACGTGAAGACGATGCTCCAGCTCGAACAGTTTTACTCTTGGATGTAACTTCTGAGGAGCGAGGTGCGTGGAGGAGAATTTACCGTACGGTTGTTGGAATACATCTGCGTGGCTAAGACACTAAGACCCCGTTAATCCTCTCAAGCCTCAGATATGCACTAAAACGACGAAGATCCCAACCCAAGATGTCCTTCCTGCATCTGTCTGAGCCACAAACAATATGTGCATGTGGTGTATATACTCGTGCACGTGGGGACTGTATGAGTTAGGAGTTGAAGTGTATGAGTTCATCCCAGTGTCAGGGTCATGATTCAGCTTTTGTCAGCCCAGCTGCACTCACTCTCTAATCACCTGCGTCACCTCATGTCTCCGTGTCCTCATCGCCTGCTGTGAGTCCGTCCTGTTTGTCCTCTGCACTCTGGTCCCACCGGCTGACTTGTCCTCAGTTTTTTCTTCGTATTTCGCTTCTAAAATCAGCTTTCTGAGACATGTCCTGGTCTGAGCAGAGCGTCTCGGAGACGTGAGGACTAAAAACTCAGCGGCACCATGACAAGGTTTTCCTGCCATCCGGTCTGGTTCTGATGGGTCGTGCAGGCCATCATCAGTTCACATGGTTTTATTTGTCTCCGGATTTCAACTTTTCCACAGATTTCTCCAAGACGTTTCTCTGAATTCCTCAAAGTGGACAGGATCCGGACCAGCAGGTTTAAAGGCTTCTTCGTTCAGACACAATCATTTCAGTGGATCTTCTCTTCAGTCGATCCGACGTGAAATCCTCTGAATGTGACGCGACCAGGAGCAGAAACCGTTGGGAACAAACTGAACGTGTGCTCGAGGACGTCTCTGGCTGAACTTAAGCCCCGACTTTTATGAAGCCGGCAGCAGAGAGCCTCCCGTCTCAGCTGTCGTCATGGAAACGCCTCATCTTTCTCTCCTGCCTTCAGTTAATTGTGTCGCACGCAACAAACAAAACAACTAAAAATACAGACATCAGCATCGATGTCTGTTTGTGTGACACTGGTTTCAGCTTGATAAGTTGGTTCTGTCAGGACGAGCAACAATATTTACTCAGCCTGGGAGGAGGTTTCTGAAATCCTCCTCTTTCTGATTTTTATCCTAAATATTCACGCTGACAGGTTTTGGTTTCCAGACCTGATTTTAGAGGATTTGTTAGAAGTGGTCCTGATCCTCCGGTTTCTGGGAGTGGGTCACTGTGTGAGTGAACGCCTTCTGGTTTCTGAGAGTCCGACGGGAGGCGAGGCCGGTGGTTTGTGTCGTTGCAGAACCTCGGCATCGTTTCAAGCCCTGGATGAGCTGAAAGCTGCAGCTGAAGACGGTCAGAGCTCAGAACGATGACAGTTTGTGTTTATTCTTCTTTTCCAGGGTAAAAGTATTTTTAGGGTGTTTCACGCTGCCTTCTCTCCCCAGGTCCTTCCGTTTTGGGATGACTGTGTTCAGGTCCGTTCTTAAACGTTAACTTACGTTACATTTAATTTTACTAGATGTTCTTGTCTCTTGAGTAATTATTCGAGGTCGGTGGTAGTCCTGGAAGTCCTGCTCAATAAAAGATTTTTGTCCTGACCGTGGGCTCTGAACTTGGACTCATTCCTTGTGTCCTTGAGAAAACAACAGATGTTGACAGACAACGGAGGGAGAGAGGAGGGGAGAAGAAAGACAGAAAGAACTGAGAAGTGACCGAACGAGAAGCTGAGACATGAACAAACGTTCAGATGAAGACAGAAGGATTTAATGGAAAGCAGAACAACTTTAGTTTCTAAAACAATAAAAACTAGAAGAGGGGAATCCAGAGGACGTGTTTGTGTTTTATGATAAAATCCTGAAGCAGCTCAGAGCCAGGTGTGTCCGTCCTCTGGTCTCAGGTGAGGACGGACACCGTGAAGCTTGGACAGGAAACTGAAGAAGGTGGAAACTAAACATGTTTTAGTGAGATCTCCTGCAGGACTTGTGTCGAGCCTCCTGCTGCCCTGGGCTCAAAATCACCCACGAGGGTGTACTCCTCTTTATGATTTTATTCTCCATCCATCCATCCATTTTCTTTACCCGCTTATTCCATTTTGGGTCACGGGGGTTGCTGGTGCCCATGTCCAGCAATCACTGTGCGAGGGGCGGGGTACACCCTGGACGGGTCGCAAGTCCATCACAGGGACACATAGAGACAAACGAGACAAACAACCATTCACTCTCTCACTCACACCTAGGGACAATTTAGAGTTACCAATCAGCCTAACATGCATGTTTTTGGTCTGTGGGAGGAAACCGGAGTACCCGGAGAAAACCCACGCATGCACGGAGAGAACATGCAAACTCCACCCAGAAAGGCCCCTGGACCGGGGTTTGAACCAGGGACCTGCTCGCTGAGAGGCAGCAGCTCTACCAGTTGCGCCACCGTGCTGCCCATGATTTTATTCTAGTTTTTTTTATTTTATTGAGTCAATGGAGCTGTCAGTAAATGAGCTGCATGTAAAAAATCACTCTGACCTTTGACCTCTGACTCTAATCAGTCCCACTCATATCACGGCTCGTTTTGACAAAGTATAATCATTAAACAGGAGGCCTTCTAATGACTCTCAGCTACTACCACACTATAGTAACGCTTGAGACATTTCCATATTATGTCGACTTCAAAAGGTAATTGGTGTATGATTGTATTAGTTTCTGAGAGTTTGATTAAAATCTGTCCACTAGTGCATGGAATATTTTGCTAACAGACAAAAGACTAGCACGCACAGACAGGCAGTTACATTATCACCCACCTTTCATGGTGATATTAACACTTTAACCAATGAGAGGAGACACTTCCTGTTGTGGAAGAAGCTGCTTGACATCCAGGTGGACAATAAGTGGTCCTGTCGTTTTGTCTCCACAGATGTCCTGCTGAATGAGAAGTTGGACGTTGAGGACTGAAGGACGTCTCATCAGCTGATCCACTTACCTGGAAGTCTTGGTTTCAGGCAGGACAGACTGCAGAGGTTTGCCTTTACCTGTGCAGGTGAACGAGCCAGGTGATACCTGGGTGGGCAGCTGGCAGGAAGTGGACGGTTCTACTCCCAGATCGTCTTCAGCTCACCGACCCACACTGATGTGAGGCACAGCTGGAGCTCACAGTTCAATTAACGGAGCTTAAATCTCTCTCTCACACACACACACACACACAGACACACACACACACACACGGAGGGCTGAAGGACAGATGCTGCCCCCGCCCTTCCTCTCATCATCCTCTCAAATCCAGCTGGACAGAAGATGAAATCTGAAGCGGGCCGGTTTAGTCTTTTGTTCCTCGCTGCGGCCCGACCCGGATCGACGCTCCTCTTCCTCCCAAGACTTTCTGTTGGAGAAGAGAGAAACACCGAGGAGAGCTGGAGCTGCAGCAGACGATAGAGGAGAAATAAAAGGAGTAAAATGAGCAGGAAACACAGGGAGCGTCATTAAAACATCAAACAACAACAATCAAGCTTCATGGCCACGAGGACAGACCTCCTCCTCTGATCTGCTCTCATCAGCTTCTTTGCTTCAGGAAGCTGAGCAGCTGAGCTCAGCTCTCAGCCGGATGGCAGAGAAGCTGGAAACGCACTGATAGCTGAAGCTGCTGGACGAAGCTGAAGCTGCTGGACGAAGCTGAAGCTGCTGGACGAAGCTGAAGCTGCTGGACGAAGCTGAAGCTGCTGAAGCTGAACACTGCCAGCCCACAGAGAGAGAGAGACAAGAAGACAAGAGGAACGTTTTAAATCAGAGAAACAAGGGATGAAGGACTTTGGACTCTGGCAGGTCACAGCTGGTTCTGTGGGACAGTTGGACACCAGAGGGACGGAGAGAATCCTGGACAGAGACCAGCAAAGAGACGGTGAGGGACACTGAGAATCCTGCAGAGGGACACAGACTGTTCTGGTCCGTTTCTGGTGTCCAGGGTGGTCCGGTGTGACCGTGGGGTCGTCCCGATCACCGCACCTCGGTGGTTGTTGGACCGGGGACAGTGGCAGGCTCAGGGGTGGGTGCATGGCCATGGGGGGGCCGGATCCCGTCGTCCATGCTCCACCGCGACAGGGGCTTTGGCTGGGGGTCCTGGAGCTGGGGTCCGCCCAGGGGGACTCCTAGACTGTCGGAGCTCAGGCCCTGGATGAGCGGGGGGTTGGTGGCGGTGGGTGGGGGTGGTGTCGGAGGTGCCGGAGCGGAGAAAGGAGGCAAGGTGAGATGTTCCCGCAGATTCTGGCTTCTCTTCGGGACTCTGGTCCTGGTCTTCCTCACCTCGCTCTTCCTGTCCGTCTCACTCCGGGGAGGCGTCAGCTTCAACTACCTGGAGCCGCCCGGGTGGGAGGAGTCAAGGCGGGTGAAGTTAGTGCCCAGCTACGTGGGGGCGCACCACCCGGCGGCGCCCGAAACACCACAGCAGAAGACATGTGCCTGTCCTCGCTGCGTCGGGGACCCCGGAGTCTCTGATTGGTTTGACGACAACTACGACCCGGATGTGTCTCCGGTTTGGACCCGGGACAACATCCAGCTGCCCCCTGACGTGTACTACTGGTGGGTGGTGAGTACCAACATCCTCTAGCTACTGATGCTGCATCTCTGTTTGTTTGTTTGTTCGTCTGTTGACCTCACAGGAAGCACAGAGCGTGAAACTTAACATCTTCAGGTTCTGAACCGTCAACATAAAAACTAAACTACAAATCTGCTCCTCACGTTAGAGAACTGCAGGGAAATATTTTATACAACTCTTTGATTTATTTACAAAAGAACATTTTTGCTAAAAGATAAAGTCGTAGTTTAACGTTTGGAGGAACCTCAGCTTCAGGAGGAACAATGCTGGACCAGCTCTTTACCCTCACTAGAGTCGTTAAGGGCTCATGGGAGTTTGCCCATCTGGTCTACATGAGAAGGCGCTGGACCATGTTCCTCGAGGTACCCTGTGTGTGGGGGGGGGGGGGGGGGTGTCTGTCAGTATGGGGTTGGGGACCCGTTAAAGTGGGTCATTCAGTCCCCGGTAGTAAATCCGAGTCCAAGATCTGGACTGGATGGTGTCACGTTGGAGCCAGACAAACAAATAATAAACAAAATGCTACAAAACGGAAGGACTTCATGGACAGGGCCTGATGAGTGGAGCGGAGACAACTGGGCAGGATAACAGGGAACAGGTGAGAGTGGGCGGGGCCACAGCTGAGGAAGGATAGCCTGATGGAAACAGAGGACACTGGGAGAAACAGAACCAAAAGACTCCAGCGCCGTCAGTCAGCGGTAGAGGTTTTAGTTTGGAGGCAGAAAGAGCTGATCAGTGATGAAGGACGATGTTCCATCAGATTAGAGATGATTTAGGATTATTAAACAGATGAAATTTCAGAACTGACAAGTGCTGGAGGAGCTTCACTTGTTTTCTTGATGAAAACGTGTCACACAAACAGGATAAAAGCTTCACGCTCAGATCTGGACTTTAAAGTTGCACCGCCTGTTGAAGCCTCTCAGAACCAGGAAGGAGCACGGCGCGCACGTCACGTGTTCACCAACGATCTCTGGAACCGTTGAACGTCAGGCCTCAGCGTGTCGTCAGAAACGACAGATCCTGACCCAAGGTTCTGCTGTAAACGTGTCGCCACGGAGCGGCTGTGAGAAAGTAAAACATTTTACCTCCCGTTTTTTATTCCATCGCTCTGAACTTAAAAACACGACGATAATAATAATTTTTGTTCTAATTTAAACCGACGGCAGACGCACCAGATGCATATTTCTCCTGACGCTGAAGATTAACAGAATGACCTGAAGATTTACTGTACGTTGTTGTTTTGTGTGTAATCAGATGTTTGATAAATGAGTTTTCAGAGTGTGAATGAGGCGAGGCCACTGATATCCAAACGCCACGTATCATCCGGTACAAACCCTGCAAGCGTGAGTCTGAAGGGAGCAGAATCTCCTGAGCGTCTCGGCCAAAGCTCGCTGATTAACAGCTTTCTGCTCGTTTGTTTGTGGGCCTCCAGCTGAGCTGCTCATAATCCCAAATAAAACTCTTAACAGCTGAAGCCGCACGACTCCTGAAGTCCCAACAGCACGGCGTTCTGCGAAGAGACGCTCATCGGCTCCTAGATGTACCTGCTTCACACGCAGACCGGCTGCAGGGCATTCTGGGTAAGTCCTGTGGTCGGGTTCTGACGCAGGTCCTTCAGAAGATAGCTGTCTGACCTGTCTGAGATGGAGCTCATGCACTGCACGGTCTGGCCTTCGGGGTGAATTAGCTGGATGCGACTTTTGACCCTTCCTGAAACGAGTCACTCGGGAGTCTCGGAGCCTCGCTGTCACGTCGCACGAGTTTTAAACGGGTCTCCGAGTGGTCTCGAGCAGGGCTTCATTTGTAAATCGACGCCTCAGTAGCGGGCAACATTTTGGTGTATTTTAACAGGTCGTTAAACATCTATGCTTACTTACATTTGTAAGCACTCGTATCCCCGTCCTCCTCACTTGACGGTTCTGAGCCGACCCTTTTCTACTAAATTCACTGTCCGACTCCACATGTGAAACCTCCGGGCACTCACCCCCACCACTCTTTTAGGGGCAGATTTTTTTAAGGGTAGAGGCAGAAATGCTTCACTTGATGGGGCAGTTGATCGTATGTGATATTAAGAAGTCGTGTTGTGTTTAAAACGAGTGTTTATATAATTATTTTCAGTTGACATAAACAATACAAGGCTTATTCGTTCAAGGCAGTCATGGTTGTTCAGAACGTTTTTATTAGTAAGCCTGAGCGGATCCAAGCAGTTTCCGGATAAAATAAGAGAGTTCCCTGATCCGGTTCCGGCAGGATCCAGCTCAAATTAAGTCCTGGTCTTGAGTCTTCGTGGTGGTCCAAGTCCGTCTCAGACGAGGGTTTGTAACTCCAGAGCTGTGGACTCACAGAAAACAACGGATCAGGTTCCTGTAAATGTGGGAACATTTTGTCTCCATCTGATCCTCTGTAGGTCGTTGCTGATGTCTTTCCGACTTGGCGTTGTGTTAACACTCGCCTGTATGCTCCAGAGCAGCAGAACCTCCTGATGAGGATCAGTTCTGAGATCTTGTGGGAGCAGCAGGACCAGTTTTCTCTAGCTCTGACGACACAGTGGACCTGAGTTCAGTACCTGAGTAGAGCTGGAGGGGTGCACCTGTTTTCTGACGTGCACGTCAGCATCGTGGCGCCTTCAGCTGTAGTTTCTTTTGTTTTTCCACTGTAATTTTTATTAACATTTTCAATAGTAAATAACATTCTAAGGATAAATCTCATACATTTTCCAGATTATGGTAACCTAAGCAGGCCTCTCTTTACAATAATAATTCCCAAAAATAACAATAAAGGGGTACACACATTTATACAACATCCATCCATCCATCCATTTTCTTTACCCGTTTATTCCATTTTGGGTCACGGGGGTCGCTGGTGCCCATGTCCAGCAATCACTGTGCGAGGGGCGGGGTACACCCTGGACGGGTCGCAAGTCCATCACAGGGCCACATAGAGACAAACGAGACAAACAACCATTCACTCTCTCACTCACACCTAAGGACAATTTAGAGTTACCAATCAGCCTAACATGCATGTTTTTGGACTGTGGGAGGAAACCGGAGTACCCGGAGAAAACCCACGCATGCACGGAGAGAACATGCAAACTCCT